CCTAATTACCATCTCTTCCTTCAGACACTCTTACGCTGACGAAGGCAGCAGGTGCTGCCGAAAAGTTCGTTGAATAAATGTACATGTCTCAAATTATGTCAAAGTGTCCGGCGTTTATGTTAAGAACTGCAGTGTTATTTTATACAATCGAGACATACGTGGAACATCATCGACTAAATCGATCAGATATGAGTTTTTGTTTCTAGTTATTATTATATTATGATCTGGCAATACTGCTCGTCAGTCATAATCACGGGGAACTATTTTGTTTTGAAGCCTGTGTCGTACTTGTTCTTATAAGTAATGTTTGGTAGATCTCTATCTACGAATTTTGCCTTTTCTCTGTTTTGAAACACATTTAATTAAATAATTACAAAATATGGATGCTTTATCAGGGATAGTTAAGAACACAATGGAAAAATACTTACATATATCTTAAATGCTGTAGTCGAAGCAAGGTATCATGGCTTATCTCTGTCAAGTTATTATGCTCAGCATAGCTATATACATAACGATAATAGAGTTTGAATTTATATATTTATTTATTTATTTAACAGAACATAGGGCTCCTAATTGCTATAAGGAGACATGAAGTTGAAATCGCAACAAATAAAAGTCGTAAAACGTATAAAGTGAAAACAAAAAACAAAAAACAAAAAACAAAACACGGAAAACTAATATACTTATAGTACTAAAATAAATTTTGGAGTAAAAACAAGAAACAAAAAACTACCGTGACGTTAGTGAAACTCAAACTATTGCTGCAATGGTAATAGCGAGGTACGGTGGTTTTTCGTTCATAGCGATTCGGTGACTGAAAGCAAAAATCATTCATGCACATCACGGTAGTTTTTGAGTTTAAACTAGCTGCAGCAAATTGCGTTTATTCTGCAAGGTTTCATTTTGATCCATTTATAACTGGGACGTAAGCAATTTAAATGACCCACAAATTTACACCAAGTTTATTTATCATATAAATAACTTACATGAAATTTAATGCCATGACTCATAAATGCAGGCCTACCAAGATATTCAAACATTCTGAGTACACTATACCTGATAATAAGTGAGTTGATTTCTGAAATGTGATATTGAAATCAAGAAGGCTTATGATATTTTAAAACTGAAGAAAACGTTTTCTTTTTTACGAAATAATCTGGCTATAGTTGTAAAACATATTAAATTATTACCAATGCTTACAGATATGTAGTGTTAACTGGAATATCGTTAGGTAATACACTGAGGCCAAGCCCACTGCAATTAACTTTCCAAGTCCCGTCTGAATTCTTCAGGCACCTGCAGACAGCCGTTGAAGTGATGTTTCCACATGCCGACTGGCCTAAAACTTTGAATAGGCCTACAATTTCCATGAGTAGGAATGCTATCCATACCAGAGTAGTCATTCTAATCCCAACAAGTGTCAAGAAAGTTAAATACAATTGTGAAACAAAATGAAAATGTAAATCCACTTCTCTTAGAAAAGAAGCTTAACTTATTAACGTTGCTTGGATAACGCAGTTAACCTATACCAGGTCTATGACTACTAGGTGCCTAGGCCTAATACATATTCTATAACATAAAGGAAGTATTTATCGCGTTCACCTAAGCATTACTAAACGACTAGACAATAGGCACAACAATCTCCTAGGAAGCTGACAGTATAATAGAAAATATTTAAAATCATACAAATTAGTATACTGTATAGATAAAGTATAAATCCATATCCCGGGATTTCCCACCCAATTCAAGACTTCTAGATATGCCACTGTTCATGCTGTACAATACAACACCAGTTAAAAAATACGATACGACTTTTTCCGGGTTGATGACAATTACGTTGATCTAGGCTACAACTAGTTATGGCTTTAAAATTACCTGCCAAATGTAGTCCACATAGGCCTACGCCAAAATCGGTCCGGCATCTATTTAGTAGTTATAACCAGGGTTGCCAGATAGTCGACAGGCTTCACGGCCAAACACACGCCATCTCACGGCCAAAATTGTTTTCAATATCGGCCAAAATTCGACCAGAATTTAATCCGATAAGAAGACAGTTATGTGGGTACATATTCATTTGAAATACTGCAAAAATTACAGGAAAATCAGGGGCCGTTCGTTTGAAATTGCATCAAAATAATATACACAGAACAATGTTAAACTTCTTTTAATTAATCTATCACCATAAAACACATGCCCAGCTACATCATAATATTAAATAGCCTAGGCCCTATGTTCTTTAGTTGCTGACGCCCGAAAATAACCTTATGCGTTTGGGCGATCAATTTTT